AATTTTTCTTAAGTTGACGCGTAAATATCATGCCAATGTTCACAAAAAAATGACCATTAATTAAGTGAATGACAGGTATACCACTCCTCTGCTGGGGTGTCTCTTATGGGGCTGTAAGCAAAAAGGAAATTTATCAACAACATTGATAACCCTCACAATTCTCGAGTTAGACTCGAACTTAGAATTCACAAATATATTACATATATATTTATTTTTAAATTTCAGTTCTATCGTTAAGTGTGTCTATCTGTTGATCATTGAGTAAAACAATGTCCGAAATTGATCGCGCTTGAAACAATGTCCATGTCATTGTTAATCTTGTTTCTTATACCAACAAATGATAGGATCATTTTCAATGGAACTTCTTGCATTACCCTTAATAGCTCTGCCAAGAACCCCAAAAATTGGGTTTTACATTTAATTTAATCGGCTGCATATCACACCACTCGTGTGCTTTGTTGTGCCTCAAAGTGCATGAGAGGTACAACATTAAGGGCTGTAGGGTTTAACTGAAGAAAAAATTTCAAGCCAACAATTAAATGTCTATAGTTTCCACATCTATTTAAGAGATCAGAATATAAACCAATTCTTTCTTTCTGATACAAACGCAATGCATGTTTATGTCAAGATCACCAACATAACAGTTTAAAAAAGACCAAAAACTTATTTGTTCCTTGAAAATGAAATGGCAAACCTTTAGAATTCGGAATGTGAGCATTCACGGACTAGGTTCGCTCTTCTATACTCAGATGTAATCTCAAACAAATGGTGCTTTATATATAATATAAACCCATCTACAATCAATGGAACCACACAACCGTCAGTCCCACTTAATAAAACAAATAGGAAATTTCGTTATGGTTGTGACCTTCTCAATTAATGAGAAATGACTCAAGAATTGTCGCGGCTTCATAGGTAGCATGACTGGTGACATTTCCTTTGAGATTGAAATACTCTACAAGGTGTAGGCACTTAAAAATGGTAAAAAGGCAAGACTCGAGAGAATATAACAATTAGATCATTGTTGTATATATTAGAAATAAGAAAAAAATATTTAGATTAGATTGAGAGGATCAAAATCTTGTAAGACAATAGATTAGCATGACTGGTGACCTTTCCTTTGAGATTGAAATACTCATTGTTGCATGACTGGTGACTTTCCTTTGATATGAGGTTGGTTCATAACATAGGAGAAAACATCAAATGGATATGATGTAAACATGGAAATGTACATGAGAAGATCATCATTATCGAAACCGTGACATTAGGACATCTAACATTA